ACACCTCTGTTCTGTTCAGACATACCTACTGTTGGTGCTGGGAGCAGCCCATTTTTGCAGACACACATAAAAGGCTTAGCATTGTTTTATACTTGTTGACTATGAAGAGAAGTGAATTTGACCCCTTTGAAAATGATCCCCCTTCTCCTACCTGTTATTCCCTGATGGTAGAAAACCACGTGGATACCTAACCCAGAGTAGACGGATTAGGCATATGGCTGGAGAGATGAAAACAAGTCAATCAAACGTGGAGGAAGACCGACACGGACCAGGGCAAAATACATCAAGTTGCACCAAGAAATACGGAGAGAGAGACAGAGAGGGATTTAGATAAAAACACAGAAGCAGAAAGGGAAGAGGAACACACCTGTTACATTTTTCTTCCTGTGAGATCGGTGAAGAGTAATAAACAGCAAAACGAATCATTTTTTTGCTTTCTTCAAATAGGTAATTGATTCAAACATATAGTTCTATTTTGAGATGTGTACAACAGTATCTTTTGCACAGAAACAGCACATTTGGATTTGTTCTGATTACCTGCTCAATGCAGTCTACCCACTGACATTTTTTTGTCTATCTCTTTGGCTCAAGATTGCTCTCAAGTTCTTAATGCACCTAGGACATGAGCTTGGAGACTACAAGGGCATTGCCTGGACTGGAGGCCACTCATTCTTACAGTATCTCATACTTTGTAGATAGGTAACAATACACTTGTGTTTGATGACCGAATGAAGTGCCTCCTACCAATCCGAAGACCTCATCTGAAGGACTCAGTGGGAAAACCAAATGAAGGGCAAGGGCAAGGGGAAGAGCAAAAAGATGCACAGGCTAAGGGGCAGAACAAAGAAGGCAAGGATGTTTTCGATTAGCCAGGTTCACAGTCCAGGTTCTGTGAAGCTGGCCGATGTGGAGTGCACTGCACTGTGACCCTCGGAGTGAGGCATGTGGGCACCAGCCTCAGGGCAGCCGTGATGCAGTGAGTGCCTGCCAGGGCCGGGCACATGAAAGCCAGCGTGGCACAGAGATCTGTGTCTGAGGAATAAAATGTATGAGAGTCTGGCTTATTTTAATTTGTGGGCGAAACATCTGGTAAGAGTACAAATTTTAAATTATTTATCATTGCAAAGCAGAACTGCACCTGCTAGTCAAACTCAATAACAACCAATTAAAATAACAGGGCATTTTTATGTGGAAAGCCTGTGTGGGGAACAGATGGAAAATCACAGACTCTCTTCCCCCCACACAGTCTACATGGGGGCAGCACATGAAAAGCATACGCCATCTTTGATAAGTATCAATGCATATCAGAGTATATATTATATTTGAAGATACGCAAATGTAGTAACACACTCTGCCCAATTCTGTCATTCTGTGGCTCTGGCCTCAGTGCTCAAAATAGAGCTTGGAGCAGAGCAGATGCCCAATAAGAAGTTGTTAAATGAGCGAGAGGGTAAAGGAACCTGCAGCCCTGAGCCTTGGGGCCAGTGTACTTCTCCTCACTTATTCCACCGCCACTCCAGGTCGGAGCTGAGTTCCTCCTTTATTTCCCTAAATCCAAAGGAAAGTTAAGTCATCTCAAGCGTAATGGGTAGGACCGTAGAATCACATTTTCTAAAGTGAAAAACTGCCTTAAAGGTCTTATTTGGGTTTAAATTAGGGAATATATGATCATTGGGAAAGAAAATTAGATAATACCAAAAGCAAAAGGAAAGTAAAAATGACCACCAATCCTCCATAGAAAACACAGACTCCTGCTACAGATGGGAATGCCAAGGGCTGAAGTTAAAAGGGACTTGCTCAAAGTCTTACGTGCCCTTTATCTGCAGATCAAAACCACGATTTTAGGCAGCCCTTGATTTCTGGCTCTGGCCACCTGTTTCCTGTACACACCCTGAACTTTCCCATCAGAGCTGGCTGGATCACAGCACCTGACCTTCGCTATTCCCATAAATGATCGGATTTGACAAAATCATAAATGGTAAACATGAACTTACACACCAGGGCCCAGAATAACAGAATGAGAAGGACCGCCCTGGAACACGAAAGGGTAAACTTGGCACAAATGTATGAAAAAGTATTTAAGTACCATGCTTCTCTCAAAAAAGAAAGAAAGAAAAGAATCCTCTGGGAGCTCACAGCCCCAAAGAATGAATACAGACAGAAAGATAAGTAACACGGTTTGGATAAATTTGCATGTATTTATCTAAGGTTATTAAGGATACCTACCTAACTCAGCTTCACTGAGTACATTCCTTTTACGATTGACATTAAAGAAAGACAGGAAGACATATCTTTCCACACACATACACACACACACACAAAAAACCCCTGGAAGGAATGAACCATGCAGCTGTGTGGAAAATTCCTGGTCAGAATCCTGGTTCTAAAGACACCTGGGTTTATTCCCTCTAATTACAGCACGGCTCTGACCACAGCGAGTTAGCTCCGACATTCCTTTCGGGCTGACTCCCAGGCTCCTTCGCCACGAAGAAGCTGATAATACCGACCCAGGCTGATGCCCTGTGCTCATTCCCGAGTCCCTCCAGCCCTCATTCTGCAAGGTCTGCCCCGCACTCTGGCCTGCTCTCTTTTCTGATCCTGCTGTACAGAAACCACGGCTATTTCTATGTCACCAGTCTTTTCCCCTGTCCCTAACACAGACACTGACACTTGGTGCTGAATAAGTATTTGTTGGGTAAAGATATTCTGTGGACTTTCAGGAGAAGCGGAGGCCAAATAACACATCCCTGGGGAGAATGAGAGGTGTGCTCCTCAGGGCCTGGGCACAAGCTACCTGGCCGCGATGTCCCTCAACATCGGTGCCCCCACACTCTTCCTGGTTCTCTGACTTCCTTGATTTTGGGGGGTCTTCCTTGATGATTTCCACTATTTCTTTATGGGCCTCTTGCTCTCGCTACACTTGCTTTCTTGCCACTATCACTACCGTTCACCTTCAGTGTTTGCAGTACTACTGCCATACCAAGTGTGCCGAAATGAATTTCTCTAGTAGCAATTTCTCTCCCTTTCTGAGCACACATTGAACATTTCTATCTCCGAACACCTGGAGGAAATCTCCATTTGGATGTGGTTTCTTGCTGACATGAACCACTCCCCCCCACGCCCACCCGAGACTGGAACCCACCCCAACTTCCCAACTGGGACAAGGCCAAGGCCTTCTTTCCAGCTCCTCGGGCATAGAGTCCTTGGACTTGTCTTTCAGTGTCTCCCTCTGAAAGGTCAGCTAATTCTCCTGCTGTAAAGACTCTCACATTCAACCTTCATTTTCATATTCCCTGCCCTCATTCATTATTGTATGTTCCATACTAACCCTCTCGGTGCTGGTATCCCCACATTCTAGTCCACCATACATAACTTTCTCTAACGTATTTTCATCACCCATAGTTCCCCTGCTATGTCTCTGTCTATTGCCCTTTATGTGAAATGGAAACACCCGAGAGGTGCAAGTCTGTCTGGTTCTTGCCCAAGCAGTCAATGGATTTCTTGCAGTGGGACCCTTATTTCTGCCTCTGGGCTTCGGCTGGTGTGATCCCTCACCTACACGGCTCCCCTTCCACCGCTGGTCACCATCTCGACTTCCCGAGGGGCCCACCGCTTCCAAGGAGCTTTTCCTGGCTAGTTTCATCACAGGAAATCGTGATGAGTTTCATCACAGGAAGTCGTGATGAGTTTCATCACAGGATGTGGCTGCCTTTCCTTCTCTTGAAGTTCATGTTTAGTTCTGGCCATATTGCCATTTTGCTTCGTGTTTGTTTAGTGAATGATGATGGCTACAACGAACGTTAAAAAAAATAATAACTCCCACTTATGGACGCCTACTACGTGCCGAGTCCTGAGCTAGGCCATTTAGGACGTTCCATCATCTTCTCAGAAACCATACAAACTATGTAGATATTATGCCTATTTTACAAATAAGGCAACTGGGACTTGGAGAGAGGTCACTTGCTCCTCCATGTCCAGCTCAGAAGTAGCAGAGCCGGGATTCAAACCCACAGAGCCCAGGTACGGTTCAGGTGCCATGTGTCTGTGCGTAGACATTTCATGAGAATGGCAGCTTATTTCTGCCCAAGTTCACCAAAGGCAGCAATTTTATCTACTTTTGCGTTCTTCCTCTGAATAAGTAGAGCCTGTGGTCCCAGATACTTTTGTTATGGGTGTAAACTCTAGCTTTCTACTGCAGGATCACCAAGGAATCACCTCATGACCGCCTTTTGCCTGTGCTCTAGAATTACTGCCAGGCAACACGGGTTTAATGTTAAGATCCTTGACTAACCGTTTTCTTCCTGTGAATGCCTACTCTGCTTCCTCCAAAGATCATCTGATGTAAGTCACTTCAAATGCCACTGTTCTTTGCTCTGAAGCCCCCAAATTAAAAATACGCATTATGTCCTGCACGTCACACGGTCCTTTTAGTTTCCCAGCCTGCCTTTGAAGCCACCAGGACAGGCCTCAGGCCTCACACAGTGTGACAGCTTCCCTCTCGACTCAGAATCCCCACAGAGGTACACCCAGCGGCTACTAACCCCTAATACCTGGATCGCTGCATTTGCGCATGCTTTTCTAATAAGAAGGAAAATGTGTCACAAGTTCTACCTGGGGCTTACTACCTCTACTTTCTTAGATTAAAGACTCTCATTTCCCAAATGATTTCAATATTCATTATTTGTCATTTTTATGTCATTTTAATATTATAACTGATTCTGAACCTTTTATCCACACATTGCCTATGTGATTTCAAAATTCCAATAGGAAGGGCACTAAATAAATGCCACTATTTCATTCTCCTGACTCCCCCTTTTTCTTGATGTTTGTTTGTTTGTTTTTTAAGCAGAATTTGGAGTACTAACTACTGAAGCTATTCTTCATAACGACTGTCGCAAACCGCTTACTGAGCAACACCGTTGGCCCTTCAAAATTGTTAATAACAATTCAGACATTGTTAATAACACCGCACACTAATATTTTTCAACGCAGGCCCTCACCTTTCTGCTTCCAAGCGCATCTCTTCTCGCTTTTGCCTCCTCAGTTCTCTGCGACGTTCAAAATCATCCATGGTGCGGTTTCAGGTTTGGGGAGACCAGAGGACGTCTGGACCTAGAGGGGGGGAGGCAGGATGAATGTGATCAATGAGTCAAAGTTATGATTTCCCATGAATCGCTTAAGCCCTTCCCTCACCACTGCTATTTTTTAAATCTCCTCATTTTTTCCCTTTACTCTTAATAAAAACACCTTAGAAGTCGGGTGAGGTAGCCAGTGATCCATTTCTGACTCCTGAGCCCAATCCTTTATGTGCTGAATTCAGTCTCATTCATGAAACTAGTAGAGACAAATAAGTAAGATTCCAGGATTACCGTTTAAAAAAAAAAAACACAAACAAGGACCTCAGGAGACAGAGAGGTTTTGAAAACTTGAAATATTGATAGGATCACTTAAGGGCTACTGAAAGGTTTTGTTCTTTGTAACTTCGCTGAAGCATACACAGACAAAAGTTACCAAAAAGTGAACAAAGAAAGAGGGAAAGAAAACAAGAGTTGAAAAAAGAAAAGTGGCAAGAAGAGGCATATGTAGGAAGAAAGAGAAATAAAATAATAACACAAGTATCCAGCCATAATTTGCATCTTTTAGAAGATGTAAATATTAATCGCAGAATGATAATAAGACCTCAGCGATCATCCCGAGAATAAACGTACTGCAGCGGCATTTCAAAAAGCAACGATGACGTTAAAACAGAGCTGTTTCCAGAGCTTAGAAGTCCCGGCTCATGGTAACCCCGTGGTTTTCTCCCTTCCTACCTCCTCCGAGACGGGTTTAATCCCGGGCTGATCCCCCCTTGCAGCTCCTCAGCCGCGCAGCCCGCTTCCCCTGCGTCGCCGTGCCATGGAGTCAACTGTGCCAGAATTCCCCTGCAGCCCCCACGCCCGAAATGACTATCAGGGAAGGGGAAGCGGGCTCTTTTTGTTTTCGCTTTGTTTACAGAGCTGTCAGTGGTTAGTTAAACTCGGCCTGGAATCTGGCGTTTAAGGCCTGCTTGAAGATTGTTTCCTGTGCGGAGCGGGAGGCCTCCGCTTCCTCTGGAATCCTAGACGCTCCGCCGCGCTCGGATCACCAAAAATATTTTCCAGCCCTTTCTGTGCACACGAGGCCGAGCCATTCGCTCCGCGCGAGAAAATGAGGCGCCTTGCAAAGCCCGAAGGCAACCCCCTAATGCATGTTTGTTTGAGGGAGCAAAGAGCGCAAACTTAGATTTTGAAGCCAAGTTCGGAGTCCTTCTTAAATAAATCGTCAGATTTTTTTTTTCAAGCACCCCCCCCTTAGGTAACCCACACAAACAAAAATAAAACCTCAGGCAACAAAAACAAAAGCACCCAATGTTTGAATTTTTCCCTTTTCTCCTCCCCCGAGGTATTATTTATACTGCTTATAAATCTTTTAGAAATTCAAATTCTGGCGTTTACTTCGGGTTTTTTAATTTTAAGGTGTTTTGCTATCTTAACCCCTACCACGAGTACTTTCTAAGACGTTGCTAGTTAAGAAGGAATCCGTTTTCTCTTTAAAAGAAAATATTTCATCAACCACGAAGCAATGTCTCCACATTTTCCAGTCAGATCTCATCACAGTCATCAGAATAAAAATACAAGTGGGGGGTGGGGAGTTGAGGGTCCCCCAGGGACGGGCTTCCGTTCTGAGCGCAGCGCGGGGCGTGTGAGGACAGCCCGGCGGGCAGCGGCCGCACCTGGGAGAGGAAACTGCTCTTTCCCTTCTTAGGCAAAGTCTCTCGTTGTCTGTAAGCCACTTCTCATAACTACAGCAACAGCAATAGAGGTGGGAGAAAGACGTCTGCCTGCAAGCAAACGATTTCCCTTTGCCTCATGGGGCCAAGTAGCTCAATCCGCCGCAGCGGTTCGGGTTTTCCAGCCTCCACCTCGGGTGGAGGTGCTAACGAGCAGGGAAAGAAGTGCCCCACCCCATCAGGCAGAGGATGCGCGCGGGTGGCGGTGTCTCAGACTACAGGACGGGAAGGGAAACCCCAGCCTCGGCTGGTCACTGCGGCTGGCCAGCCTCCCGGGCTGTCTCCAAACACAATTTCTCTCCTACCCATCTCTCCTCCGACTCCCCACCTTTTATTACTTATTTAAGCATTTTTTTCTTTCCCAACCATAGAAAAACTCTATACCTATCTGGTTATTTACTTACTTCAATGATGCTGATTGTGTATGCGGTCACTGTGGGGGTGGGGGAGAGTGAAGAGGGAGAAGATAGATGATAGATAGATAGATAGATAGATAGATAGATAGATAGATAGATAACCCATCGACATAGACAAGTACCCTTCTGCATTATGCTTTGTGGACATTGGAGGACATATCTAAAAGGGAAAGCACTTCTGTGTACCTTGTAGTGTGTGTGTGTGTGTGTGTGTGTGTGTGTGTGTGTGTGTGTGTGTGAAAATGGCTCTTTGTTGGTCTCCGCCAACCCGGAGCTGAAGATCCGTCTTAACCCTCACACCCTTATATCACAGGGCTTCTCTGAACTTCTCTGGCACTGTTCTTATGTCCGGGAGCCCTGTCTGCATAGAACTGTAAGTGATTCCCCACCCCTTTGAGAGCCATAGCTTCCATGTCCCCAGCTAGTAATCCCTCATTTCCTCCCCTCCCCTCCGGTCACTGTGGAATTCCTTTCTGCAGCATCGGTTAAGAAACAAACTCTCAACCAATGAAGTGATGAAATGTCGTCAATGCAGAGAGATTCTGTAAACTGGGGAGCTCTTAGTGTCGAGAACAAACAGAGGGGCCTAGAGGAGAAATCCTGGCCAAAGGAGGTGCGTATCAGTGAAGGTGACACGTGGGTTCTTGGAAAGTTTTATGAAAACTCAAATTTTGTGCTGGGGGGGTTGTCGCCATGCTATTGGAAGAACTCGGCTGTGACGCCCATTGTAAAGGGAAAGAAGCACCTTACGAAGGCCCGTGCTGCGTTACCTGCTGGTACATACACCCATCTTTTCAGTATGGGCTCTGCAGTACTAGATTTTCTTAGAGCAGGCCACACCTGTGCCGTGAGGAGTAAGTAATACGGCAGTGTTACAGGTTTCAAATGGCCCTGTCTTTCCTTTTGGTAACGAACCCTAAGCACTCAGCTGTCCGTGGGAGAAGCCAAGTGGTGGAAGCTAAGTCCTATCTACCCTCAAATGGTCATAAACTGAATGGGCCAGGGCAAGTCTTTGCCGTTTGGGGGCAGTACCAACCTTGGCCTTGAAATACATGGAGAATAAAACCTGTCATGTCGGGGACTTTGAATAAGTAAACTCAGCTTCCAAAATAACTAATATCTCTTGAACATGTACTATGTGCTGGGCCTTTTAGAAAACTTTTTAAAATCAATCAATTTTATTTCTTAGTTTTAGGCTTAAAAAAACCCAGAACGTACAGAGTTCCCATATATTCCCTTTCCTTCACAACTGCCCACAACTTCTTCTCGATTTGTATTGAACTGTGTAGTCTCAGGTATGACAAGTCCTAACTCCCAGTACATCTGAATGTGACCTTATATGGAAATAGTCTATTGCACACACAGTCAAGTTCAGGTGAGGTCACTAGGATGGACTCTGATCCCATAGGACTGATGTCTCTATAAAAAGGGAAAATTTGGACATAGAGACAGACACACAGAGAGATGACAATGAAAAGATACAAGGGAGCATGTCACGAGAAGGTGGAGTGCAAGGGACACCTGAGTGACCGGAAGAAGGTGGGAGAGAGGCGTGGGGCAAATTTCTGCCTAGTCTTCGGAGTCTTCGGAGGGAGCATGTCTGCTGACACTGATTTTGGGATGCTGGCTTCCAGAACCGTGAGCCGGTGCATCCCTCCTGTTTGCAGCCATGGCAGCTTACAATCTGCTCCACCCTATGCACATCTTGCAGCAGTGTGGCACATTTATTACTACTGGTGAACCAATATTGGTGTTATTATTAATGCAAGTCCACAGATTACATCAGGTTTCACGCTTTGTGCGATACAGTTCTACTGGTTTTGCCAAATGCATGATATCCTGTTGTTATAGGAAAACGAAGCAACTAGACACCGAGGGATTCTGGAGTACGAGGTTTATTGTTTAACGTGCACGGGCCCAGAGGAATCATTTCTGAATTCTGAGCCCGGAACAAAGGATTCTTGGGGAATATATAGATTAGGGGTCTTCCTGTCTACATGACAAACGTGGGATACAGAAACAGAATGTGATAAATGTTCTATCAGTGGGGGTGCTAGTTTCAGTCCTCACTATCCAGCCACCCGCCCTCCTAGACAGCCCCATCATTCTCTCTAGAGCGCCTGGGCAAATAAAGGTTAAACAGAGGTTTTTCAAAGTTTCCCATATCACTGTGGCCACCATGACAGTATCAGAACAGTTTCACAGCCCTGAACAGCCCCTCCCCTTCCCTATCCCCCCACCGCAGGCCTTGGCAACCAGTGATCTTGTCCCTGTTTCGGCAGCTGTTTCCAGAATGCCACATAGTTGGAATAGCACTTTTTCAGACTGGTTTCTTTCCCTTAGCAATATTCACTTAAGTTTCTGCCATGTCTTTCTGTGGCTCAATAGTGTGCTGAGCCATTTTAAACTATGTAATCTTATTGTAGCTACATAACAAACCTGTGAGGTAGCTATTATAATCCCCATCTTACAGAATTCAACATACGTGCTCTCAACTGCGATGATATTCTTGGGCTAATCCACACTTTAGGAATTGTTTTTCCTTTCAGGAATAAGTACGCATGCCCCAGAGAAGTTCTGGGGACACTATTGTCAGTGACCTCTGGTTTAATCCGTTGGATCACATGAACTCAGGTATGAGGTGATCTTTAAAACGACCCATGTCTCTTCAGTTTCAAGCCCATTTGGTTTAAATCATAAAATGATCATGTCTCAGAAATCTTAATTAAATTAAGCATTGCAAACTTTTATTAAGCCCTCACCATGTTACTGTTACTTCTTTGTAAGATTCATAAAGTAGGATGGCCATGTGTTGGAGCACATCAATGCACCCTTTTTAATATAGTTTATTTCTTTTTTATTTTTAGAGAGAGGGGAAAGGAAGGAGA